TACGGGCTGTCGGCGCGTCACACATTCCGTGGTATACCACCGCGGTCGCAGCACACTGCAGACCAGGCTCCCAGGACAAGGCGGTGACCTGGCGCCGATGGCTTACCGCCACCAGTGGCACCTTCAGTTTCTACTCCCTCCCGTTGCAGAGATAACGCCTGCTCTGCGCGGCACGCTTGTCCGTGGCTCGCGAGCGGCAAAGACGTCCTGCTCGCCGGACGCACAGCCATGGGGCGTCGATTTGTGTAAATGATAGACTGGGTAGGGGGGGGGGGGGGCGAGAGTTCGACTGTTCAACGTTTCCTGAATACGTTGCTGAAAATTACCGCATTTTGTTTTGACGAACAGGATTGGTTTTCCATCATTCACACACAAATACCGATTTTAGCAGCATAGTAGCCATGGCTTTCAAATGATGCTGGAAGCAGGTAATACTCGCAAGACTTAGAGCGTTTCCCCCAAATTTTTTAACATGTCCCATAAAAATGCCAGGGGACCAAAGCAATTTTCAGAGGAGATCAGCATTAAAAAAGGCAGGGCCCTCACAAAATGATACAAATCGACACCCCTGTGCGCAACTCACAACCGAAGCCGCCCAGCGCAGCAGAACGCGCGCGTGTGTGCAAGCGTACCCAACGTGCATCTGCGCTAGCTCGCGCAAGCAAAGCAGGCAGGCTGAAGGATGGAGGGATAGAAGACAAGCGAAACGGAGGGATTAACAAGGCAAGCAGCGACCAGAAAGGTGTCAATAGATGCCGAATAGCATGCAAATAATAAAACAAGGCGTTATTTGCCGACTGTTTGGTCACACTACTCGGACCGAACATCACGGCCCCTCGGACCCAACGCTGACCTAGCAAAGGAAGGCCATCCGTCTGGTTTGCCATGAGGCAGGTGGTGGAGGCGGTGTCTCGCGTTTGGTCCCGTGCATCACTGGACTGTTTTTCGGCGGACGCATGACACTAACGGGACCTACAAGGATTAAATCCTGACAAAGAGTTAGACAAAGGGTAGGAGCTGCTGCGTCTGAGGTCGGTGACGGTATTTTCAACTCTGACAACCGCATGGTAACGACCCAGTTTTCTGTAAAATGTGGGCCGGCCTCCCGCCCTTCCCGATCTAAGGCTTACAACTACAAACAGGCAGACTTCGACGGTCTGCGCACTGCTCTCGGGGTCATTCCTTGGCGTATTCTAAATGATTTAAGTGTTGATGATGCCGTCCATCTGTTCTATGATCTTGTATTCGCCACCACTGCAAACTTCATACCTATTGTTGAGCTCCGAAAGAAATTTCCTCCATGGTTTGACCGGCCCGTTCGAGGCTTGCTGCGTGACAGGGAGATGGCACACAGACGTAAGAAAGCGCTTCCGACCGCCCACAATATCGCTAGGCACCGTACTGCTAGAGCCGACTTCAAAACAGCAGCTGATGCTAAATATCCCGAGTATTTGTTGGGTCTAATGCGAGACCAAGGGCAACCGAAACGTTCTTGGTCTTTGTTGAGTCCTTGAAGTCATCAGCGCACATATCCTCCGTTCTTGAGTGCGATGGCAATGTGTACAAGGGTGATGAGTAGCGTGCCAACTGTCTGAATGTGTTTTGCTCGTAAGTTCTGTGATCCTGACGTTTGTATATTGCCTGACCACCTTTGCTCGATGCTCTTGGATTAACTCTATCTCAGTGCACACAAGGTCTGTGGTCCCGACGGGCTCAGTGCCCGGATTCTCAAGGAATGTGCCGAGGAGCTGGCTATTCCGTTAGAAATAATATGCAAGCTTTCTCTACGCTCCAGCGTCTTCCCCGCCATGTGGAATCACGAGAATGTGACACCGGCGCATAAGAAGGGGCCCAAAAAAGCTGCCTGAAAATAACAGAACTGTGTTGTTACTTCCCATCTGTTCAAAAATATCGGAGAAGTTGTGAACGATAGCCTATTACAGGTTTGTCTGCCCGCCCTATCCCCAGCAAAGCACGGATTCCTGCCAAAGCGCTTTTACATCACAAACCTTTCATGTTCTTTAACATTGCTGTACATCTCAAAACGTAAACAAACAGATGCAATTTACACCGATCACTCTTCAGCATTCACCAGCGTGAATCACCTTCTGCTACACAAGCTCCGCTATTCTTTTTGCATCACCGGCCGTGCGTACAGCTGGCTGGAGTCGTACTTCAGCAATCGTTCACAACGCGTGGTGCTGAACCGCAAACAGTCTGACTGGATTCCACTGCGATATGTGTCCTGACATCTGTGTTCATTCTGTGCCCCGGAAGGCAGCATCTTAGGACCGTTGCTGTTCGCCTGTTTTCTGGCTGATGTTCCTGACCAAATCGAGAGTGCCTTATGAACGCTGATGATGCGAAAATTTATCACCGAATCGACGACGTAGCAGATTGTCTTACATTTGAGGCAGATTTGGATCGCCTCTGGTCCAATGGTCCAATGGTCCAATGGTCCAAAAACTGGGGACTGAAACTGAACCCAGCTAAGTGCAATACCACATCATTCACCCTCCGCACATCGCCTGCTCACTACCCATACGCACTAGACGGTCACCGCTTGGATAGCTGCCAGCAGATTCGTGATCTTGGCGTCTTGCTGGACACCAAACTAACCTTTGCCAATCACATAGATTCAGCGGTCTCGAAGGCAAATAGGATGCTGGGCCTTCTCATGCGAAGCGTGCAAATGCCGTGCCCTCGTCAGGCGCCTCTTCAACGCTCATGTGAGACCATTGATAGCGCACGGTAGCGTTATTTGAAGCGGTGCTGCCGTTTCCCATCTTCCACGGTTCGAAAGGCTACAACACCGTTTTCTCATATGGCTGGGTTCGAGTAGCCAACCTCGGTGTCCTCCACTGGATTGTGAGCATCTTCTCGCTTTCTTTAAAACATCATCTATCAAGCCACGCTTCACTCAGTCTGACATCTTATTTCTTTACATCATATTTCATCACCGGCTTGACTGCGCTCACCTGAAATCACTGTGCAGTCTGGCTACACCCGTCCAGCGTTCTCGGCATGTCGCCCTTTTCCACCAGCCATTTGCAAGGGTCAATACTGTTAAAAACGGATTTGTCGCACGACTACCCGCTGTCTGCAATTAATTTTTGCGGCATTTTCCTTCAACTAACGTTTTTCATCCAACAAAATCATTCCGATCTGATTTGTTTAGGTTCGCCGGCAGACGCGGAACATTTTCTTGACGACTTGTTGCGCGACTGTGTGTAATGTGTGTGGGCGTGTGTGTGTGTTTGGTTGGGTTTTTGTTTTCGTGTGTATCTGATCTTTATTGTTCTCAAAACTGGACTTCATCCGTAACTGGGCTTTTGCCTGTGGAATGCTCACGTCCTAAATATACAAATAAACAAATAAACAACACGGGTGCGGCCGGTGGGGACGTGGGAGCATCGTGTTAGTCTTCTTCGACAGTGAAAAGAGACCTCAAGCACACCTTGAAAGGTGGGAAGCAGCACGACGACGTTCACAGTCCCAAACATAGTTCGGTGTGGCAAGTTAATTTGTTTCCTCGCGACTTCCACCCCAAAATCCTTACTGCTAAATTGTACGCATCGTGCCACCGAGCAGCCTATCCTGCGTCACATCCTCCTAGACATTTATATACAAGGTCTGTTTACTGCGCAATATTTGTGATCTCGTCCATGGGGTGTTGTGTGATCTCGTACATGGGGTATCGTGTGATCTCGTACATGGAGTGTTATGTGATCTCGTACATGGGGCGTTCTGTGATCTTGCAAATGGGGTGTTGCGTGATCTCGTACATGGGGTGTTGTGTGATCTCGTACATGGGGTGTCGTGTGATCTCGCACATGGAGTGTCGTGTGATCTCGTACACGGGATGTTATGTGACCTCTTACACGGGGTGTTGTGTGATCTCGTGCATAGGGTATTGTGTGATCTCGTACATGGGATGTTGTGTGATCTTGCACATGGAGTGTTGTGTGATCTCGTACATGGAGTGTCGTGTGATCTCGTACATGGGGTGTCGTGCGATCCCGTACATGGCGTGTTGTGTGATCTCGTACATGGGGTATCGTGTGATCTCGCACATGGAGTGTTATGTGATCTCGTACGTGGGGTGTTCTGTGATCTTGCAAATGGGGTGTTGTGTGATCTCGTACATGGGGTGTTGTGTGATCACGTACATGGGGTGTTGTGTGATCATGCAAATGGGGTGTTGTGTCATCTCGTACGTGGGGTGTTGTGTGATCTCGCACATGGGGTGTCGTGTGATCTCGTACATGGAGTGTCGTGTGATCTCGTACATGGGGATCTCGTACATGGGATGTCATGTGATCCCGTACATGGGGTGTTGTGTGATCTCGTGCATTGGGTGTTGTGTGGTCTCGTGCATTGGGTGTTGTGTGATCTCGTACATGGGATGTTGTGCGATCTTGCACAAGGAGTGTTGTGTGCTCTTGCACATGGGGCATCGGCATGCACTTTAATGCATAAATAAAAGATAAGCAGTAATGAGATTGGCTCAATAATGGGCTGGAACGGTCCTTGTCAGGCATTGCGGGAAAGAAGTTATCCTGGACGTAATGGGCCAGGGGTGCGTAATAGTCGACAAGTCTGCGCTACGTCGCCAGAAATGAGCTGAACATCCAGGCTGCACGAAATGGGGGCTGATTGAAGCGTATAGGATGAAGTGCAATATAAAATGACACGCCACATTTCAAGTTCCAAAAACGTGTAAAGTATACATGCTCCGTCCGATATGGCACAAAATAAATACCCAATGTCGGCGAAACAGAGCGCGTCATTTTACACGTCGCTTAGTTCTGTGCCAACGCAAGAGCCGGTGCGTTTTGAGCAGCAGCTGGGACAAATGCCGAGGACGGACCAGACGTGGCCGGCGTCAGGTGTAGACGGACACGGGGCGTGCCGAGGAGAGGGGGCTGCGCGACCGCCGTCTACGGGGCGCGTCTGGTTAGTGGGGGAGGGGGGGGGCACGTCACTCCACACGCCGTCACCTGGCGCAGCTTCTCGCACAGCCGCTCGGGCCAGTCGTGCGTGGGCGGACTCTCCGGCAGCAGCAGGAAGTCGGCCTCGCTGGCCGCGGCCGCCGACAGCGCCAGGTAGCTGCCCGGACACAGAGCCGACGGTGGGCTCAGCGCCCGCCCGCCCGGCCACGGCGCGCACGGCCGGCGGCCGACGCACGCCAGCGACGAGATAGGGCGCTCGGGAGAGGCGCTGGGGCGCTCGGGAGAGGCGCCGGGGCGCTCAGGTGAGGCGTCGCGGCGCTCGGGGGAGGTACCGGGACGCTCGGGTGAGGCACCGGGGCGCTCGGGTGAGGCACCGGGGCGCTCGGGTGAGGTACCGGGACGCTCGGGTGAGGCACCGGGGCGCTCGGGTAAGGTACCGGGGCGCTCGGGGGAGGCACCGAGGCGCTCGGGTGAGGTACTGGGGCGCTCGGGTAAGGTACCGGGGCGCCCGGGTGAGGTACTGGGGCGCTCGGGTGAGGCACCGGGCCGCTCGGGTAAGGTACCGGGGCGCTCGGGTGAGGTACCGGGACGCTCGGGTAGGGTACCGGGGCGCTCGGGTAAGGTACCGGGGCGCTCGGGTGAGGTACCGGGACGCTCAGGTAGGGTACCGGGGCGCTCGGGTGAGGCGCCGGGGCGTTCAGGTGAGGCGTCGCGGCGCTCGGGTGAGGTCCTGGAGCGTTCAGGTGATGTACCGGGACGCTCGGGTGAGGCACCGGGGCGCTCGGGTGAGGCACCGGGGCGCTCGGGTGAGGCACCGGGGCGCGCGGGGAGGCGCCGGGAGTTTGATGAAGGGTCTGGACACTGATGGGAGAGGACGAAAACCGGCCCCCCGTGGCATATTAAGTTCTCAGTTTTGGTTGAAAAGTACGCCCGTGATTGGCGACGGAGGTCTTTCGTCGGCTCGCTTGACTGGCGTGATCAGCGATGTTCCCGGCTTTTGAGGGTGGCTGCCGCCGACCATGACTAAAACAACGACGAAGCAGAGTGGTGTTACGATATGTGCAAGACGGATAGAAACAACCTTGTAGAAAGAGTAGAGCAGCAGGGGTAAATTGAAGGTGCGAAAGGTTTGCAAGTCCATACCTAGCTGGCATCACCCAGCCGCGAGTGTCGCAAAGGATCGCCGCATCCCCGCGTTTTCCCCAGGCGTCAAACAGCGCGAGCCCAGCCGCCCCGGCGTCGCCAGTGCGCGGCCAGCCTCTGCTAAGCCCGCCGACCAAGGCCTGCGCGCCGCCCGCCAACGCCGACATGCGGCTTGCCTGTCGCAGCTTCTTGCTCATGATCCGCTGCCAGGTGACCTCGGCCGGCCACTCAGGAAGGAAGACAAAGTCGGCCTCGACGGCGAGGGCGGTGGTCAGCGCCAGGTACCTGCGACGGCCGACGGCGGACAGGGCTGAGGCGTCACCTGACGTCTCGCCCGACAGTCAGGGCCGCCGGAAACGGCCGGACTGTGCAACGGCTGGTCAACGGGCTACTCGTATAACGACGAGCTCTCAGCTGGCCCGTTTGTAAGGCACCATCAGCAGTGTTTTTTCCCCGATTAGAATTTTGTACCACACGATGTAGGGTGAACAATCTGGTAGGCTGCTGTGGCAGGCACTGGGCCTTAGGTTACGGTGACGCATCCCATCCAGCTCAACGGACATTCGGTAATTGCAGCCCCATAAAATGAAGCATCAAGAAAAATAAAAAACTGCCCACGTCGAGCAATGCTAGTGTAGTGAGATCAAACACACGCAAATATCCTTAAAAGGCACTACCAGTGCACGGACGTTACATCTTCCGCAAAACTGTCTGGATTACCTGTAGCCCTTTTGACTGTGTCTCCCCCTACCAGAGGCGAAGCGCCTAGCCGAATATGAGCTGCAGTACTAGCTGCCCATAACTCAAGAGCGGGATAACTCAGGCGCAAGCGGCAGCACGCAACGAGTCTGCGCGTTTGTACCGCGCAGACACGTGCATGCCCGCGATCAAAGCGTCCGGTCTGTTCCCATCGCTCCTCTCACCTCCTTTAAACTAATTTGATCATTCCCGTGGCTCCTCCAACCTACTCCAAGCTCATCTCATTTGTTGTAGGAGCGACGGGAACAGACCCATTGTGCCATCGTTTGGGAAAAGGGACTTGCCGCGTGCAGTTTGGCGACGATCTTGTTCTCCCAGTCGCCCGGAGGCCACTCAGGTATGAACACGAAGTCAGCCTCGACGGTCAAGGCCGTTACCAGGCCCAGGTAGCTGGAGCGGGGCAGAGGGTGGGCGGAGGAGGGTCAGAGGGCAGGGAACAGGAGCCAGCGGACGGCGGGGCGCCGAGTCGGACATAACAGCCTGGCCGCACGGTGACTGGGGTCTCAGACATGTCATACAGCGCGAATGGCATGAAAAACAACCAAAAACAGCGATCTAGTCGTGCCAAGTACATACCAACTGAATATAAATTAGACATCCATAAAACCACAAACACAAGTCACATAAACGCAGACATACGAGCACATCATGAGCGAGACTGCTGGAAAATCAACGAAAACCGGCGGGACAACAGAACGGTGCTTGCAGACAAAGGCAACACAGCTGCCAGCAGACTGGGCCGAAAGCAGCCTGAGGGTCACGCGGAGGGGCCAGTGAGAGTCCACCGCCGCCCCCCCCCCCCCCCCCCCCCCCCCTCATGCGATAGCGACTTGCCATACGCAGTTTGGAGCACATGGTGGCCTCCCAGCCGAGCGCCGGCGGCTCCTCGGGCAGGAACATCCAGGAGGCCTCGGACGCCAGCGCCGCCACCAGCGCCAGGTACCTTGGTCGGCGGGCACCGTCAGGCCGAAGGCGTGCAGCGACGCGGGGCGACGGCCGGGGGCCTCGCGACAGATGCCGCCCACCCACCACCACGGGGCGCACGCGGCCCGAGACGTCACAGCGACTACGCTAGGCAGACGGCCACCGTTGTCGTCACGCAGCGGCCGCCAGCAGCACGGCTCAGGCTGCCGTGCCACGGCGGACTTCAGAGCGGGTGTCGCCAGACCACGACCGGCGCACGGCCTTCACGGTCAATGTACACGGCGCCGATTCAGGACGGGACGGCACACGCGACGCCGCAAACGGCCTGGGCACTCCGCAACAGACGCACAACGGGCCAGCGCACTCGACGACACACGCACGCACACACGCACACACAGACCCGACTCAACACGGGTGGCCCTCCCCAAACAAGCACAGCACAGCCGCGCCTCTTCGCTACACACCGGACCCCGAACACGGCGCATCCGCGCCTTCACCAAGCCAGCACCGCCACCGCGGCCGATCTGTCCGCCAGCCGTGACGCCTGCGACGCCCGTGACGCCCGTGACGCCGCGCTCGGGCGCCGTCGCCGCCTTGCACGCGGTGCCAGACGCGAGCGGCGACCTCCGGCGCCGGGCCAGAGTCCCCCGCGACGCGCCACTCACCCGCAGTGCCGGCCCATCACCTCCATGATGAAGCAGCGCTGGTGCGAGTAGGCCGTGGCCGAGATGGCGTCGCACGCCTCGATGATCCTGGAACAGCGGGCCACTATTAGCGCGGCCAGGACAGCGGCCGCCAGTGCCGCGTTCAACGTTCGTGATAATGTGAGTTTACGGTTGTTGCAACGTACACTTATCATGTACAACACAAGACACACCAACTGAGTTCTTAACATGGAGTTCACAGGCCCCCGACGTTGCACGGAATGTAGTTTTTGAGATAGTAACAGTTGCACGTGCTGACAAGGATATCAGAGCTACTCCAGTGTTCGTTTGATCAATCAATTACGTATGTGGATAAGTGCATTTGCGAAGAACGTTATGCACATCAATAACAGAGTACGAGAGGAGAGAGAGAGAGCGAGAGAGAGCGAGAGAGAGCGAGAGCGAGAGCGAGAGCGAGAGCGAGAGCGAGAGCGAGAGCGAGAGCGAGAGCGAGAGCGAGAGAGAGAGAGAGAGAGAGAGAGAGAAAAAAAAAATGCATTGACATTTCGGCTACATGTCTTTATGAAAGCAAATATCCGCAGTAAATTCAGAATTAATGCAATCTACAATTTGCAAATATCAGCAGTAAATTCTAAATTGATACAATTTATAATTTGCAAATATCAGTAATAAACTCAAAATTAATTCTCAATTTAGACTTTTGGATTCACTACTGATATTCCCTTCGACCAGGGCATGTAGCCGAAATATCAATGTATCTATCTCTCCTGTTTATTCTAAGAGGAATAAGGCTATTAGTACCGTCTTATAATATGATCAACTAATTCATGAATCGTCAGCCTGGGAGCGTCGTCAATCAACTGGAACATAGGTCAGTTGATTCTTCCGGAGTTAACGTTGGTCAACTCCGGAAGAAAACAAGTATTTCGTTACGCATGTTGCTGATCGTTTGCTGTCTCCGTCTCGCACCGCAGCAATCCATCTCATGGTTAAGGACAAGTAAGCAAGAAGGGATAGTCAATTTAGTCGACGGGACACATGCCTCGCCAATGCCAGCCCTCATAGTTTCCTGTGAACTAATACCCGATGTTCTCTCCGCACTGCACCGGACTCCCATCATCATGCTGTACGTGCTTCCAGCTACAGCTCATCTTGTCACGGGACGGGCACCGACACTACCTTCAAATGCGAGAGCAAAACTGCTGAGAACACCAGTATCGAATTCACCATAAACACCGGCATGCGACTCCCGCTTTCAAACTAGTCCCCCCGAGATTGAACGCTGGCAAATCCGCCGCAGCTCCCAGGCTCGATGTCACGACAGCACCGGCCCAAGGCGACCACTGTCGGAGAGGTGGGGGCGGGGCGGAGGCGGACGGGGGCGGGTAGGGTCCAGATGTCGGCCCCGCCCGGTCGACCCACCGATGCAGCGCCGAGTCGGTGCCGATTGTCATGTCCGTGCCGCAAAAGTCGTTGTCGATGGAGCCCACCATGCCGACGATGTTCAGGTGCGCGTACTTCTTCCTGTCCCCCTCGGCGATCCTCGCTGCGGGCGCACGGGCGACCACGCCAGGCTCAGAGCGTGGCGACAGCCGACAGATGCCGGCAGAGCGACTGGGCACCGAAGCGGCGATGCTCTTGCTCACTCACACCACACGAGCAGGCCCGCCGCCACAATGGGCAGCGCGTACTTCGTGTTGTTAATTGGCGTTAAATGACAATAGCCTGCCCTGGATTGCAGCATAACTCATATCCAATGCACCAGAATGCACTGGCTAAATGAAGATACCCCGCAATCATTCAGGCGTATAATGCAAAATAGCAAAGTAGCTACAACATGGCACAAGCTGTGATGATTTTCAACAAGAGCGACTAATGTTAAAAAAAACGGGAGCCTGGAGTCTTTCTTGCTTAAAGCAAGCGGATTAATATTAATGTCGCGCCATGACATGGAAACATGAGGCTCCCTGGCTTCTGGGGCTCCCGCCCCCCCCCCCCCCCCCCCCAAACACACAACCATAATTTCGGGCACTAACTGATTAGTCTGTGGGGATGACCGATCGTTGTGCTGCCTTCATATGGACACGAGAAACATACATAACAAAGTTGACGTCATGAAAACAAGGAACATGCTTACTGCGATCTAAACACCGGGACAAACACCCTCTCCCAGAGTCCACTGAGGGGCGGGGATGGCGGCGGAGGGAGTACCCAGTACGGCCCGCAGCACGCTCACAGTTCTTGAGGAGCTCGTCGAGTAAGCTGCTCCACTCCTGGCGGAAGCAGTTGGCGCCTGTCAGAGAGCCATCGCCGCCGATCACCACCAGGTTGGTGATGCCGCGCTTCACCAGGTTCTCCGCAGCCTTCAGACGGCCGGCGCGCTCCTTGAAGTCCATGCAGCGCGCCGAGCCGATCACCGTGCCGCCCTGTCGGCGCGAGCGCACGGCTCGGTGAGCAGGCAGACAGCGGCCCGGAGGTGTACGGCTTGGTCAGCAGGCAGACAGCGGCCCGGAGGTGTACGGCTTGGTCAGCAGGCAGACAGCGGCCCGGAGGTGCACGGCACGGTGAGCAGGCAGACAGCGGCCAGGAGGTGCACGGCTCAGTAAGCAGGCAGACAGCGGCCCGGAGGTGCACGGCCCAGTGAGCAGACAGACAGCGGCCCGGAGGTGAACGGCCCAGTGAGCAGACAGACAGCGGCCCGGAGGTGTACGGCCCAGTGAGCAGACAGACAGCGGCCCGGAGGTGTACGGCTTGGTCAGCAGGCAGACAGCGGTCCGGAGGTGTACGGCTTGGTCAGTAGGCAGACAGCGGCCCGGAGGTGTACGGCCCAGTGAGCAGGCAGACAGCGGCCCGGAGGTGTACAGCCCAGTGAGCAGGCAGACAGCGGCCCGGAGGTGCACGGCTCAGTGAGCAGGCAGACAGCGGCCCGGAGGTGTATGGCTCAGTGAGCAGGCAGACGGCGGCCCGGAGGTGCACGGCCCAGTGAGCAGGCAGACAGCGGCCCGGAGATGCACGGCCCAGTGAGCAGGCAGACAGCGGCCCGGAGGTGTACGGTCCAGTGAGCAGACAGACAGCGGCCCGGAGATGCACGGCCTAGTGAGCAGGCAGACAGGGCCCCGGAGATGCACAGCCCAGTGAGCAGGCAGACAGCGGCCCGGAGATGCACGGCTCAGTAACCAGGCAGACAGGGCCCTGGAGATGCACGGCCTAGTGAGCAGGCAGACAAGGCCCCGGAGATGCACGGCCTAGTGAGCAGGCAGACGGCGGCCCGGAGATGCACGGCCCAGTAAGCAGGCAGACAGGGCCCTGGAGATGCACGGCCTAGTGAGCAGGCAGACAAGGCCCCGGAGATGCACGGCCTAGTGAGCAGGCAGACGGCGGCCCGGAGATGCACGGCCCAGTGAGCAGGCAGACAGCGGCCCGGAGATGCACGGCTCAGTAACCAGGCAGACAGGGCCCTGGAGATGCACGGCCTAGTGAGCAGGCAGACAAGGCCCCGGAGATGCACGGCCTAGTGAGCAGGCAGACGGCGGCCTGGAGATGCACGGCCTAGTGAGCAGGCAGACAAGGCCCCGGAGATGCACGGCCTAGTGAGCAGGCAGACAGGGCCCCGGAGATGCACAGCCCAGTGAGCAGGCAGACAGCGGCCCGGAGATGCACGGCTCAGTAACCAGGCAGACAGGGCCCTGGAGATGCACGGCCTAGTGAGCAGGCAGACAAGGCCCCGGAGATGCACGGCCTAGTGAGCAGGCAGACGGCGGCCCGGAGATGCACGGCCCAGTAAGCAGGCAGACAGGGCCCTGGAGATGCACGGCCTAGTGAGCAGGCAGACAAGGCCCCGGAGATGCACGGCCTAGTGAGCAGGCAGACGGCGGCCCGGAGATGCACGGCCCAGTGAGCAGGCAGACAGCGGCCCGGAGATGCACGGCTCAGTAACCAGGCAGACAGGGCCCTGGAGATGCACGGCCTAGTGAGCAGGCAGACAAGGCCCCGGAGATGCACGGCCTAGTGAGCAGGCAGACGGCGGCCTGGAGATGCACGGCCTAGTGAGCAGGCAGACAAGGCCCCGGAGATGCACGGCCTAGTGAGCAGGCAGACAGGGCCCCGGAGATGCACAGCCCAGTGAGCAGGCAGACAGCGGCCCGGAGATGCACGGCTCAGTAACCAGGCAGACAGGGCCCTGGAGATGCACGGCCTAGTGAGCAGGCAGACAAGGCCCCGGAGATGCACGGCCTAGTGAGCAGGCAGACGGCGGCCCGGAGATGCACGGCCCAGTAAGCAGGCAGACAGGGCCCCGGAGATGCACGGCCTAGTGAGCAGGCAGACAGGGCCCCGGAGATGCACGGCCCAGTGAGCAGGCAGACAGCGGCCTGGAGGTCCACGGCTCAGTGAACAGGCAGACAGCGGCCCGGAGATGCACGGCCCAGTGAGCAGGCAGACAGCGGCCCGGAGATGCACGGCCTAGTGAGCAGGCAGACAGCGGCCCGGAGATGCACGGCCTAGTGAGCAGGCAGACAGCGGCCCGGAGATGCACGGCCCTGTGAGCAGGCAGACGGCGGCCCGGATGCTCCCGGTCGACCGCGCAGGCCCAGCACAAGCAAATCCGTTTCAATCAGCGACGTGGATGTGTGTGGTTGAGACAATGATGACAACAATGACAGCTACACAACTACAACGACAACTACAAATGAGCACAACAGGCAGGCCAATGATTGCCGACCACACCAGTTACAACGCCGCCGACTGGAGGCCGTGACAGCACACTGTCCGTGCCGCGACCGGGCTTCGCAACGGTTCGTCACATCGACAGCCAGCCCCGAGTTCGCGAGCACATCCCCAATTGTAACACAAGAAGGGCAAAGCCCCCTCAGGTCGTCCGTCTGAACTGCACGGCCCGTGGGAGGGAGGGCGTGGAGATGGTGGCGCCCGCTCGACGGCCGCGGGTCGTCCCACCTTGTGGATGATGCTGGAGACGGAGCTCCATTCGGCTTCCACGATGTTGTCGCCGCCATCCACCATGCCCTGGTAGCCCTCGCGGATGAAGAACATCCGCGCACCGACGTAGATGCCCATGCGCACCGCGGCCCGGACGGCGGAGTTCATGCCTGTGCGAGGGGTGAGCAGTGCCTCATCAACGGCGCTCTTACATGGGTATGGAGCAAATCACGTGGGCATTGAATGAGTGTAAATACTAAACATCCTGAATAGCAAACTGTCAGCCTGTCTCTGCTTACACTAGTATGACGCCCAAGCCATTAGACCACCGTGCAGCACCATGCGGCCTTCATTAGGAATATTTATTAGTTGAACAAAATATGCTGCACAGATGTAATAGTTAAGCAAAACATGTTGAACCAATGAATGGTGAAACAGGCATGAATCCACGCTCCAATGACCCATCCACGGGTCGTATGGGTAATACTCACATTGATTCATAACTAAGAAATCCCACCCTGACTCCACAGTCAAAGTGTAACAAATTCCCAATACTCTGAGAACAGTGGCATGAATGAGTGAAATATGTGCAATGCATGGTATAACCTATCACACCACACCAAAGACAACACCTCCGATGCCACCACCGGGTCGGCGGCATCGACGCGTCCGCGTGCCGTCGCAGCAGCTCACCTTGCGAGTCTCCGCCGCTGGTGAAGACGGCGATGCCCATGCCCTTGGTGAGCCCGTGCTCGATCACCTGGCCCTCCTTGCCGATGACGCACGGGATCTGATAGCCAGCTGAGTGGCTCATGAAGGTGGAGCTGCTGTCGCGCAGAAACGAAGGCATGCTGGGCTGCATCAGTGCTATCTTGGACTGGTCCAGCACATGTGGGTCCAGGTGCGTTCCCTCCGACATCTTTGTTTGCTTGGAGGTGTCCGGCTGATGTGTCAGTGCGTCTTCAAACTCCGGATGTTCACTGGATGTGAGGAATGCATAGATGGCAATCAGGTGTAATTCAAAATCACACTCAGTTAGAGCAAATGCTTGAGTGCATAATTTGCCAGCATGGGTGCTAATAATTGGCCAAGTTAAAGTGACTGAATCACAAATTATATGAATGTGTACACACAGTGCAATAATAGTGCAAATGTGACCTGAAAGTGTCAGATCAAGCCATGTCCATGACATATAGTGCAGTATCTTATAGTTATATCAGCTAGCTTTTGGAAAAACTGAACAACTGCTTCTGAAATCATCAGGTCAAATCATACCCATTCCAAAAAGCACAGTATATATTTCTATCAGTAGTTCACATTTCTATCAGCCAGCTGCTGGAAAAACTGCTCAACAGTGAATGCAGGCAGATCCAGAAGCAACTCTCACCAAACACCTTTCCAGTATCACACAACATTTTACTTTGTCATTTAGTTCCATTAACCCACCAGCAATTCCAAGATGAATATGCTTATGTCAAACCAATTTAAGGATGACACCAAATTTGAAACTTTAAACATCAGCTTTTATGTAAGTAGATGATTCCTCCAAAGCAAGAGTAACTGGATCTGCCCACATGGCTGAATGAAAACCATATGAATGTGAAAAGTTCCACATAATTACATTGCTGATGCTGACATATATCTCTCCACATCTGCTGTATTTGCATCAACTTCCTCAGTCATCACCAGTAGTCACTTAAAGTGAACCAAACACAAAATTACATGGGCAGTTATCTCATACTGCACTACTCATACTGTGACAAGTTCTATAAGTGTCACATCGCATGCAGCTTTGATGCAGCTTGCGATTCCTGATTGATGTTTGTTTGTTATGTTATCCATGGCAAGAGCCTAGACCAAACATGGCAAAAATACCATACCACTCAGTGAAAACATAATAAAAAACATGTAGCCTGCTGTATATGGATGTGATGTGTCACATGTGCAGGGTACTTTTGTGTGGTTACTCCTAAAACACACAATTACCATGAGAGAATATCATGGAAAAAGATTCAATGAACTTTCCTTGTAACAATGACACCATATTACATGAAGCTGGACAAAATCAGTTGCCAATTGGATGCCTATGTCTAACAAAGGTCAATACCTAGACACAAGTTAAAGGGAGAGTTCCAAAGTCTTTAAGATTTTTATCCAAAATTGCCATCTTGAAGATCATTTGGTGCAGTTCACAGCAATCAAGAGCAAGAAAAACTATATTGTTAAGTCATTAATATCTGGTATTTGGGAGCAAAAATTTGAGATTTAATGGTTATCAATCAGCTCTTGATCAATTGCATGCAAGGTAAAATGACAATCAATGATGTATTGAGGAGCATATTTACTGAACAGAGAAATTGTTTTGCCAGAACAGTCTTTTGCACCTGAAGTGTACTAATAAGTGAGTTTATCTCATCATTATTGATGCTTGCTCTAATCTTTTCAAATGTGGAACATTCCCTTTATCCCCATTAATCTACCCACCACCTCAACCAAATCATGAGATGTGCAAAACACATTTATTGATCTGCGGATCCTTGTTTTAGGAATGGTACGGATCATGGCATACTGACCAAGCGAAGTATTACTGAGATAGCTACCACCATTTGAGGACCTGTCAGATGACTCAACCATCTGACAACTTGGTAACTTATTCATTATTTGTAATTTCTAATTATCCCTCAAAAAGTATCTATCTGCATTAGTAATGCTATGACAAAATATGAGCACATCACAACAAAGAGAGCAATCTGATGCATCAAATGTCTACATAAGTAGATGAAATCATACCAAAAATTATCATTCAAAGCCAATGTCATGGACAAACTGAGAAAAATGTGCAATTGTTGGCCATGTATCAGCATTCCCCTGAGTGTCAATGAATGGTCAATCACAAGTTCATGATTACCTGTTTTGGCAATGGACTAAAGTAAAGTGGCAATAATTTTACAGATACTAGAACCACAATATATATATATATATATATATATATATATATATATATATATATATATTGGAATCAAAGGTACATATCCTCTAGAGCATTACATGGTTTTACAGGGCAACATGCAAATCAAAACTATCAGAATCATGATAAAATTGCAATGTCCGAAAACCTACGAGTGGTACCAACTTCCGACCTTTAGAGAGTTGCTTATAACACGTAACACCACGAGACACATACACACGGGCAGATTTTAAGAGGACTTTTGGGTCCCACAGCACCCTGTTGGTAATGCATTAAAGACGTGCTTATGCGGTTCCCGTGATAAAACGATTCTAAAACACGTTCACAGCGCCTGTAACACAACCATACCCCGCACTAAGCACCTGTGAACGGAGTGAGTTTAATAGAAACAGCTGCTTCGATAAATGTCGCGCTTCTCGTCAGCTGATGCAACCATAGCCAAAACATTAGCTATTCTTCTAGAAAAACAGTATAAAATACGTATAATGATACAAATGATTTGATATGGTCAGTTATAAACCATTTAAAGGTATCAATTAAAAGAACAAAAGATACACTTTAGAATACAAACAAATTTAAATGCTGATAATAGTATTCTAGGCAAAAAGTATTATTAGAACGTCATATATAGGTGCATTTCCCCTTGCAAGAAAGATCAAGCTTTGCATAAAATGAAGGTGACCTCTAAAGCCACCGTGTTTTGCCGGTCCTTGCGAAAAAGAGTATCGTGCAGTGATAAGCACAACGCGTCCTCGGGCCTAGTTGGTGCGGGTTCTTACTGAGAGGGGAACGTGTTTAGCACCGAGTTGTGCTAAAACTGGCGGAGTTTAGTACGCCTAGATACGAAACAACGCAGCCCGGTAACCCAGGGCTCAACAGCGGAAATGAGGCTATTTTAGAGGTAAACCTCGTGAATTTATTTTCGTTCCATGGGAGTGGAAAACCTTCACCATTTTGGCATCCCAATTATCATTTGATTGCGAATTGCTTCAAGGACGCGGTCGGCCGATTGTTGGTTATGTGCTGAAAATATGCCCTCGGCAAGTGGGCCTAATGCGAGAGGACTGTTGCCGACGTCATCGGCGGCCCATGCGCGTGTCCACGTCGTTCTCGAGTCTTGTAAGGATTTTCATCAAATCAAAACAATGGTCCGCAATCCCCGCCCCGATTCACCTTTTTTTCTAACGCGGACTGATGGGCGAGGTACGCGAACTCCCTTGAGTTTGCAATCAGAATTAGCAGAAAACACCATTTGATTGGTCTCAATGGTATCTCGCGGCTGGTACTGGTGTCTAAGCTGTTGGTTTCACAATTGGGCCCATTGTGGCGGGCCCAAGGTCGCACTTTCCAGAGGCTCACAGCTTTTCAGCTTCGCAGCATTACACATACACTGAAGTTCTGTGCGGCGCCACAAAACTCCCGTGTTTCTTGTTCCATTTTGAACACAATGGTGTATGTGTTTTGAGCGCACAGTTATGGCATATCGCCACGTCAATGTGACAATGTCGGTCCGCCGTGCGCGCTCCACGGCATCGTTGGTTGCTGCCCGTCGCACGCGTCGGTCGTATACCGCCGTTCAGTTTTTTGCCCCAAAATCGTCACTGCTCCGAAACCAGAAAGCTAGGAACACGATTTTGGTGTTAAAACATACAGATGAATGTTTCACAGTTTACTGAAAACTTGGACGTAATCGCTCAACATGCCGGAGAGGTATCCTCAAAGACCTTGGGGGGGGGGGGGGTTGTAAGATCCCCCCCTTCCCACCAGGGCGAGGGTTAAGGCACGTGGGAGAAAACATCTGACCTGTGAGAGGCTGAAGACAGTCAACATTACGCACTATTGGTCTACAGGAGGCCCGAAATGATCCAAGGAGAAGACTCCCATTAGAAAGACTGGAGCATCCAGTATGCTGGGCGAGGATTTAATTATGTATACCTCAAAGTTTCGCAAACTCAGCTTATTTTGTTCGACGCATGTAAACTTCAGTTTGCATCCGCCCAAAACACACCCGTCGACCCATAACTCGCTCCAGTACTCGGGGCCGTATTGCTAGCAGAACACATTTTGCACATGCCAGTTCAAGACCCTGAACAAACCGTCTGTCCGAAGAGGCGTTGGTCGTGTAAAATCTCCCGTGTCAGGAATACATGGAAGCAACCGCAGTACCAACAGCTTTTTATTGCAGAATGGTAGAATAATGCGCGTTAATGGTGTCACTAGCAAAAATACACTTCAACATTAACCAGCGCTGGATGCCACAGTTACAGCAGAGCGGCAGATGATCTTCTGTTAAGAAACCATCCTGGCCGATTGTAATTATTGGTGGTCACCCATGGTAAGGGTTGAGGCTCAGCCCTGGAGGAATTTAGTCCGGCAGCATTTCAAAGCACCTGACTCCCCTCGCCAGATCGGATGGGGTGGGTGATAACCTTTTTGTTTACGACTGCTCTCCCCATCCCTTCGCTGCGCCAGGCGGGGGGCTGCGCAGGCCGCTGCGCCCGGAACGGTCGCGTCGGTTCTCGTGCGTTGACCAAACGCTATGAACGGCATGGCTGCCCGCATGCACCAGGAATCTTTTTGAGGTTAAAGTTTTGTTTGTTACCCGGTCAGGTCCAGTCGAATCGAAGCACTTATACCTAACATTCGGCTCTTTTCTAAATTGGAGATCGATTCGCAACAAATTTTGAGGAAACGCGGTCATTAGTTCTTTAAAGACTGATTAATTTTGCCACCGTAAGTATTTAACGTGATGGTTAGCAGTCCTGCGAGAAGATAAACACATCTTATGCGTTCATAATGCAGTTGAGCACCAACGTTTGAGAAGATAAACATATGCGTTCATATTCGTACCACCCCATCTCGGCATATTTCCATTACATCTGAGCTTGTAGTGCTTCAGTTTGGTTCGGTATCTTGCTTTTTCTTTTATTGCAAATGAGTTGGAAATAAAAGTCCCGGAGATTAGAAGTTAAGTAATAGTGCCCTTTCATAGAGATCAGATCAAGCAAAGGTAAAAAGTTTAGTAACACTTTTCAGTTTTTAAAGGAAAAGTTACGGAGCCATGTAAATCACCCTACCAGATTCGTGTGTTGGGTTGTGCTGTACGTCAGAGCCAACGACTGCTACATTGCCGAGACGCACCGATAAAAAGCACGCTATCAGTCGTAGTCCCGTAGACTTATCACTGGCTTTGCTTTTGGAAACAAAATTTTGACCATGGCTGTAATGGTCGGTGCAAGTTGTTTATTCCCTATGAGCTATCTGTGGGTGCCGGAAGTGCATTGGTACACGCACCTGGTGAACTCCGGTGCTTCTGGGGAAACCAGGGCTACGGGGTTCGAGTCCCTGCGGTGCCCGCCCTTTCTGCCAGGGTAAGAGGCATGTGACGCCATATAGCCTCAGCAGCTAAGTGAGTCGCAAAGCAACAGTGACGACGACAGCGACCTGTAACCTGTCTTAATGTACATACAAATATGATGGTTTTGTTTCCATTTGAAGTCATAACTGCACTATTTTTGATAAACTTCTTCACAACTCTAACTTTACCATCCAACTTTTATCAACGGCCAACTTTGTCCAGCCTCTGGAGCAATACGTTGAGAAAGAAACGGCAACTGGCAAACAGTGCTGAGCAGCGGGTCCAAATATGCTTTAAGTGCGTGTCGACGAGTGGCAAGCAAAGCAAATTTTAAAGTTGCTTTTTTCGGTATAGTTCCTTGCAATGTTGGTTGTTGGTGAACTCGATTTTGAAACGAGATAGCCACTTGCGGTTTATCGTACCTAATAGGTGCGAGCAATATCTATGTCATACAAGAAAAATAACAAAAAGTTAAATCGAATCACATATTAATGTCAAACTGAAGGTAAGGGGATGATCCCGTCAGATTTCATTTTTTCTGAAATACCCGACTTAAAAAATATCATACGTCGGAGTCCCATAGACTTATTTAGATGTTTCAAATGACACTTCAACACTTCAAATGAAATATTTTGATTACGTGTTTCTGTAATCAACTGGTTGGCTATAAAAACATTTAAAACTTCCAAGAGTATAGAAAAGAAAACTAAAAAAGGAATTTTCCTCTCGTAATGTAGCAATTTTGTTCAATTTTTGCTGAGTTCATGTTCGCGCATGAATGTCTAAACTTGGCCCGTTTGTGGTACCCTGCTAATTCGACCCAACCTAGCTTGAAATGTCCACGTGCCAATTAATTTTCACGACCGACTTCCTGCAGCCCGTCAAAATTTGTTGCAATAATTTACAGCAAGTGGAAATCAACGCATTTTTAAAGCTCCATGGTGCATTTTGATATCGAACGATAAGGTATTATTTAGCTCATAACTTGGCTCCCTTACAAGATGGAATGACGCAAATGGTTTCGATCAAAGGACAATACAAAGCGCTATATTTCGTAGGAAACATGGCTAGAGGTGCTAGATGACTCGCTTTATAATTTTAAAACAACATTTAAAGAAAAACTCCAAAGATACTTCCAAGAGGTCTCACTAACGTCAGAATGCGAAATCTATCACAACAAAGAATGTAAGGGTATTTTCGTGCTTTACGTCTTGTCACACAATTTCATGTCCGTGACATGGTGAGTGAATTTCCAGAAATACAACTCTGATCGTTTGATCCGATCTCCAGCCAACATTGGGACAATATTTGTTGCTTGGCCAATAGGCCAATTTCCAACTCATTTTGCGGAGATCGATTGCGCAAGAAACGGCACATCATTCCACACTGAACGTGCATGAGTGACCAGATCGTAAAATATTTTGTTTGAGAATAACCGCTAGAGATAACCATGTTGTACGTGAATGTTGTGTTTTGCGGGGATCGCCGGTGTCTGATTTTGGGAACTAACACAAAGGTGGTGATTTTATCTCTGTCGGCGGTGAATTTTTTCTCGCTCGGAAAGTCGATGCGGTAGATTCATCCTTAATTCCAACCGTCCCTTGATGTTACTTCCGGTTAAGCTACGGTCATGAAATTTACCGGGGTACCAGTTCGATCCATTATGATTACAAAGTTTAGGGGACGGAAATCAGCAAGACGATTTGATGTCTTACCTCCGTTTGTGCGTAGATAGGTTACTGTTGGAACGTAGTGATGAACCTTAATTTAAGTTAGTACGGGAAGAATGCTGATCAACGGATCCTCCCGTGGCAAAACATAGGTAATGCGAGACGTCAAAAGGAGTCTGGAAACTTTAAACTTTTGAAATAATTCAATTTTGGGTCGAGCTACAGCCAAAAGCTGACTTTTGTGTAGTGCTATTGGAAAACGTTTCCTTCGTGTTTTGCCGGCGCTCCGATATGTATATTATTGATTGCAAATC